TTCTACGTTCTCGATCTCAGTCTCACATTCTCAATCTTATTGGCATGGATTTAATCATGCTATTTTTCAGGTAATTAAAGAAGACATATGGGGTTGCGGAATTGGAGGAAAAATAAATTGTAAATCTTTGGGATGTTTGGAGAAAAATTAATCGGAATTTGTTGTGACATTTGGATTATGTGCTAACATATATTAGCTAGCTTGGAGCAAGGACGGACTATGGAGAATAAGGGTAAATGAAAAGGAGGCAAAATCTCGAAATTTGAGATGAAGATTATGAAGCAGAGTGGAAAATCGGAAGCTAATGGAGTAGGATATTTAGGGTGGCATTGGATATATTTTCAATATCATTGGACTTGTTTGGATGTTAGCGGATTAATGTAAAATTAGCAGATTGAATTTTGTTCAGAGGTTTGACTTGTCAAATCCGCTAACTTGCTTGTTTGGTAAAGAGCTTATTTGATTAATCTTTTGAGCCCAAAACGCTAAATCTGAAAAACTTCAATATAGGATTGTTTCGAAAAAAGGGAATTTGCATAATAAGATGTCAACATAAGATTTTCAAAGTAGCTATACAAATCGCTATTTATGAAACAATATTTGTAAACCGCTAATACAATCTGCTAGACAAATCATCTATTACAATTCACTATCAGCTATCCGCTAATGGATAAACAAGGACATCATTTTCTCACCCACCAATAAAAGTTACACTATTCATTAATCTCATTTTTTCACTATTCTTCCCTCACAGTTTTCAATCGGCAATTTAAATAAAAAACAATCATTAATCCTTTGTTTCCTTATTGTCGTTCTAACTTAAAACTCTTGAACTCCAATGTTAATGGGTAAGTTTATTTCTATCAATAAACGAGACAACAAATGGCAATTTATTGGTGCATTTGTTAGTTAGGCACTAAGTGTTGTCCCATTAGCTAGAGAATCTATCACTACCAAAAACATCACTACCCAGAAAGTATCAAATTAATGAAGTAGAGAACTCATGCAAGGAATAAATATTCATTTTTTGCAACACAACATTTCAGCAGCTGGAAAACCAAAGATGAACCAGCACAAGTGGACAAACAATTGAATATGCAGGACAGGAGAACGACAGAATCAATACCAATGGACAAACAATCGAATTATCTCCAGGTTTTTCCAGGTTTAACTTTATGTTTAAATTCTTGACATTGAAACACAACCGGAGTCGAACCAGCACAAGTGGGAATTTAGAGTCAAGTGATATTCCCTTAACGAAGGTCCAAACAAGAAACCTGCCTATAGACCAATTATGCACGAACACATTGAAATTGAGAACAATATATATACTATATCAGTCAGGCAATTACCCTAAATTAATGTCCACGTAGTCGCAGAACGGCTCAACCCTGCGTGCTGCCTCCAGCAAGATGCCCGGATCATTTGCACAGAATTGCACAAACAGCGGCCTATCGTCCTGTCATTTTCCAGCAATACACATTCAGTATAAAAATAAAATCCACCAATCCAAAATTGACGGAAAAAAAGAACCTTCAAAAGTTGTTCACCTTACATGTGGTGAATTCCTGGGACCTGTATTTTTCGTTCTCGCTGAAAATCCTGGCATGCAGCATGGGCGTGTAAGCCGCCTGAGCGCCGTACTTCCGGCAAAGCATCCGGAAAGGAAGCTCGGAGTTGTCGACCATGGGGGCAACGATGAGTTTGGGCCGACCCAACTTGTTCCAGTGGGCCCAGGCCATCTCGATGCGGGCCTCCCCGGTTAGGTACCCGTTCGGACGGCCAAGAGAAACTGCTTCGAGCTCGGAGAGAGGAACAGCATTTTCGGCGGAGCAGAGAACGTCGTCGTCGTTGCTACTTTTGTCGCCATCGGCTGGTATCGTTTGCGAGCAGAGGGGCTGAGTTTGAGAAGCCATGAAAGGATTGAAGAGAGAAACCGACGTCTCCAAGTTCGGGCTACGACGTCGTATGAGGTGGAGCGCACATGGTTTGAATCTCATTGGAACGATAATGAGAGGCGGCGATGGCGGGGATTTGACCCATCGCCAATTAGGGTTTCAGTTGGAAATTTTGTAGGCCGATTATTAATTTGGGGATTTAGTTGGAAACGAAAAAAAAATATATATATATATATATATTGGAACCAAAAAACGCTTGGATAAAATAAAAAATAAAACCAATTTCGCTGAGTCATATTTAGACCGCTACTACAACATCTGTGTAATACACGGGTGTTTGTTAATATTTTTTTCTTAAAATTTAAAACTAATGAGAAAAGGGGTTGAAAAGTTAAATATTTTTTATAAAAAAATATATTATTATATAATTTAGTATGATACTTATTCCTTGTTCGACTTACCTGTGTTATATTATAATTATTTTTTTAACTTATATCATATCACTACATTAAAAATAAATATACTAATTGAGAAATAATTTTATTTTTCTAATTAAATTAATAAATAATTATATTATTATTTTAAAGATATTTATAATTTACTTATTTTATATATACAATATGGATGTCAAATCGAAACTCATCAAAAGATGATTAATTTGATATATTATATATGCAAAACCGATAAGAAATACAAAAGTTATCAACTTTAAAATATATTTAAAAAGTCAGGGATATATTAGTCACTTAGTGTCGTACTATGTAAGATTACAAAGAATTAAATGGTTATATTAGTATAAATGTTATGAAATTGCTTAAGTTAGTTTAATAATATTTATGAAATGCCCGAACTTAAGTTATGTAATGTCCGAATCTAAAATTATTAATTTATAATATCAATATTGATTGTCCAAACTAAAATACAAAGCATGATTTTTCGTCAAATAGGATTCCGAAGCACCAGAAGCAACCACGTAGGCTCAGCGCATTCGGGAATTATATATAGGGGGATTCTTATCCCGAACCCAACTCAACCCAACTTAATAATTAAAATTATTTTTCTCTCCTCCATGTACACAACTCAATCTTCCAATTTAATTAATCTCTATCCCTAACCCAACACAACCTCAATATTTATTTAATTTAGTTTATTTAAAAATTATAATTTTGCAAAATATATCAAGTGTGATCTCTATTTATAGAGAATGAAAAAATACAAATATTAATATTTTTATTTTTTTTAAATAAAAAATACACTTATCCAATCAAAATGAGACAAGTGTCCCATTTTCGAACACTATACATTTCACGACCCAAGGTCACAATGTGACCTGGGTCGCTCAATTTTCACGCCCTTCACCTTTTTTTTTTTAACTTTTTATTTTTTATGTTTTTAATTTGTGACCCACAGGTTGGGTCACCGTTAAAGCTAGTCTTAGGGCTGCAAACAAGCCGAGCCGAGTCAAGCGTTGGCCTTATCGAGTATGATTGAATTTTTTTTTAGCTTTTCGAACTCGATTTATGAGGCTTGAGCTTGACTCGATTAGTAAAACAATAGCACGAGCTCGACGGATCGAAAAATTTTAACTGAAATTAACATTAAGCACTTGTATTATACTATTTAAATATATATATAGGGGGTATTTTAGTAATTTAATATATATATCGAGCTGGTCGACAATGCAAATTATAGGCTCGAGCTCGAGTCGAGTTCGGTCAAACTAGAACTCGAGTCGAGTTTGGTCGAACTAGAGCTCGAGTCGAGCGCTCGCGAGCTGCTGGACTCGTTTGCAGCCCAAATCGTGTTCGTATAAGAAAAATATCATCTTCATTATTGGAAATGGAGAGAGAAGGGTACAGTTTTCAACATCTGTTGGGGCGTGCTGCGACTGTATAGTTGTCTGCTATAGAAACTGTGCAAAGGTCAAACTGAAAGATAATCTTTCATTCTCAGTCGGATTCTTTCTTTGAATTCTGATGCCGGCCATTGTAAGGTTCGTCTTTTAATCTCTTATTTCTGGGTTAATTTGTACTGCTGAATTTTCTGACTGGTTATGGTTATTTGATTTGAATGCATATTTGTTTGTATTTGGCAATTGGCATATATCACAAGCAGAATCACAAATCTAGAACAAGATCTAATGAAGTAGAATGGAGGTATAAGTATGCACACACACACACACACACACACACACACACACACACACACACACACTCATATGTATAGTTGATTTTACCTCTTTTGAGCCAGAAGTTGATAATCAAGTGACTTTGCAGAAAAGGTGAAATTAAATAAAAAAAGAAAATGGACAAGAATGATAAGTACCATTTTGTTCTTGTCCACGGAGATTGTCACGGCGCATGGTGTTGGTACAAGCTAGCGACGCTGCTTAAATCCGAATCTCACAAAGTCAGCGCAATCGATATGGCGGGCTGTGGTCGAAACCTCGAATCAGTTGAATTGGAAATCGTGTCGCTAACGGATTATATGGCCCCATTAATGCTGTTCATGGAGTCCCTACATGATGATGAGAGAGTAATACTTGTTGGGCACAGCAGGGGTGGAATAGACATTTCTATTGCTATGGAGAGATTTCCACGAAAAATCGCTGCGGCCGTTTTCGTAAGTGCCGCCATGCCCGGCCCTCGTCTTGATCTCCCAACCGTCTCCAAAGAGGTGTACTTATTTCACAATATTTGACAAAACTCCTTTGACAATTTATCTCCCTAGTGCGATTTTGTTATTGTTGTCTATTCTTGTTGCTTATTTTTAGAATAAACGATGGAATGTGTCCTTATGCGTAATTTGATTAGAGCATGAATCGAATTTCTACCTGTTTTCACTTGAAAAGTGGTATATTTATTGATTTTACTCGGTTTATAATGTACAGTTTGGCAGAAGATTGGGTTCAACCATGGACAATGAGTATGCTTACAGCCAAGGAGAGGACAAACCTCCAACATCCTACCGATTTGGCCCGAATTTCTTGGCATCAACTCTGTATCAACTTTCACCGCCCGAGGTTAGATAAAAGATTTAAGGTTACATAGCTAATATATCCTTGCAATTTACAAACGGTGCACATTTCTCAAATTTCTTGTTCTTCATAAACATTGGAGTCTATAATTATCAAAATATATATCATGTTGGCTATACTCTGATAAAAATCAAGGGAAAATAAGCAAGAACAAAGAGAAGTTCAGTAATACTAATGGTAAATTGTACATGTTGGGTTTCTGGTTTAACTAACAATCGGTGGACCAAAACTACTGCGATAGGATTTGACTCTGGCGACACTTTTGATTAGGCCATCTCCTCTGTTTGTTGATTTTCACTGCCCGTCCAAAGAAACTGCGCTAACAATGGAAAATTACGGTTCAGTCCCTCGTGTATACGTTGTTTGTGACGAGGACAAGCTGATGAAGGTTGAGATGCAGAGGTGGTTGATCGAGAACAACCGGCCAGATGATGTAAAAGTTATCGAGGGTTCGGATCATATGGTCATGATGTCCAAGCCACATCATTTGTCTTTGTGCTTGCTGGAGATTGGGGACAAATATTGGCCTTCTTCATGTAGCGCCCCGTTAGTTTAATTACCCGTTATTTTAAATTAACGTTTTCCTAATTTATTTATTTTAGCATTCATAATAAATATGGCTATATAAAGATATTATTATTATTATTATTATTATTATTATTATTATTATTATTATTATTATTATTATTATTATTATTATTATTATTGTTGTTGTTGTTAATAGCCATTAAGTTATTATTA